ATATATATATATAGACACACACACACACACACACACACACACACACACACACACACACAAATAATACTTGCTTGCACCGCACAATCCTTTGATTATAGGAAAAAAGTGTGCTCATATCTCTTTTGCAACAATGAAACTAATTGTCAAATTTTACTTGTAATACTATTATGACATGTAAAATGTTAAGCCGCCGCCAACAACAACAACAACAACAACAAAAAAGCCTTAATCCCACTATGTGGGGCCGGCTACATGAACCCTTTTTCTCAATTGCTTCCTATTTAGTGTCATATTTTCATGTAGTTATAGTAATTTAAGATCATTTTTAAAAATTATTGTTAAGCCACCACCACCAACAACAACAACAACAAGGTATTAATCCCACTACGTGGGGTCGGCTACATGAATCCTTTTTCTCCATTGCGTCCTATTTAGTGTCATATTTTTAGTAATGTTAAGCCACAAATATGGAAAAATTATTACATGAGGACTCCGCATGCAGAACTGTTTGTAGAGTCCGATCTCAAACTGATATGTGAAAAACAGGCCCCCACCTCCATTAAAAGAATAGAATGAAAAAGCGCGACCCGACCCGATCATGTTATAGGATTATTTCTTTCGTGTTATTCTGAATATTTTCCGCGTTATTCATGTGTTATTGAGGTGATTTTAAGATATTATTATTCTTTAAACAATAATATCAATAACACATGAATAACACTCAAAATATTACTTCAATAACACAACAATAACACACCAATAATACATTAAAATCATGCGACCCGGCTCGACCGTGTTATAAGAATATTCTCTTTACGTTATTCTGAATATTTTTCGTGTTATTCGTATGTTATTTAGGTGTTATTCATGAATAACACACTAATAACATATTAAAAAGGCGAAAAATATTCCCTGACATGAATAATACCTCAATAAAACAACAATAACACATGAATAATGCAAAAAATATTCAGAATAACGCGAGAGAATATTTGGTCGTGCCGGAGCGAGCGTTTTCAATCTTATTTTAATTTTTTTATGTAGATGGACCCCGACTTTCCACGTGTGAGCTTAAGATTGGACTCCGCGAGAACCTCTATATGCAGAGTCCTAATGTAATAATTTTTCACCAATATTACATGTAAAATATTGAATTTGAGTTTTTCATTCATTTATACATTGCATGCTAAGACGGTGTTTAGCTGCAAGGAGAATAATATTAGTTGCTTTAGTGTTAAATCCACCTTATTTTATTAAATATGAACCTAATCCGATAAATTTTGATTTATTTATGATTTATGATTTTTCTTTTTATATTCTAAATATATTCATTTAATATGTTTCTTATATATTTTTATTTATTATTTTAAAAATAGAATTAATTATTTTGAAAATACTCAATAATTATTTTAAATATTTTTAAAAATAATTATATTTTATTTCAAATGAAAATGAAATGAAATAAACATAAAAAGTAAAAATAAAAGGGGGGTTTTCTTACATTTGGATGTCTTAAAACAATAGTTATTACATAAAAAAGGTGAAAAAAACACAAAAATTAAAATTATACTTGAAGTCACGATGTTGCTTGCACTCACTCTCGAAAAATATTTGTCTATACTCAATAATATATATGTCAAATTTTATTCAGAGAATACAAACGATTTATATATCACATTATATTAATTTATTCAGAAGATAGAAGATTTATATCCGCATTATACTGTACCTCCATGACCTCCTGAAACTTACCACTTACCTCTAACCTACAGAAACGCGGAACTGATATAACACGGAATCTTATACCCTCTGACTAACCTCCCACTAAGCAACCCTCGCCTACATCCTTCCCCTTCCCGGTCTCACCCAAATCTCTTTCTCCGCCAATCGCGACTTACAGAGATCACCGAACAGGATCACGACTTACAGAGACCAGCGAGTCTCCCATCTTTCTCATCCTTCCGCTCTGCTCCTACCAGAAATCATTGAGGAAGGTAAGCCTGTTCGCGCCATTCTTCTTCTTCGCTGGTAGGACGTAGGCGATCGCGACTTACAGTGACCACCGAAACTCCCATCCCTCTCATCCTTCCGCTGGGCTCCTACCAGAAATCATTGAGAAAGGTAAGCCTGTCGATAGAGAAGTTGATAAGAGTGTTGATGAAAATTATTGTTAAGAACGTTGATAGAGAAGTTGGCATAGTAACGATAAAAGCCATACAAATCGCATTGGAGAACATTAGAAGATTGCATAGTTAGACAGATCTTGCGAGATTTAGAAGCCAAATGCCTTAATGGTTCTTGATAGAAATCAGCTGTAAGAAATTTCTAATGAAGTGATAAGTGCAATAGAGGTAAAAGAGATAAATCATTTTTGTAAGTTAGTGATAATAATGCAAATGTTGTCTCATAGGTCACGTGATCAAGAAGCTCAAATCTAGGGATTTTTGTGATAAACTTGCGAGCAATGTTGATTATGAATAAAAGTGAGCAGTGAGGTCAAAAATGATGCACAATAATGGCAAAGATAGAGCCCGTATGTTTTTGAAATAGTGGCAACAAATAACGTGGAGGTCATAATTGTTGGTTGAGTGCAATAAGTGACGCAAATTGGTAGAGTTTGGGTAGGCATAATCAAAGGAACTCGAGAGGACAGGCTTAGCTTAACTTACATGAGTTTTACAGGAGAATAACAAAGGTTATAATGATCAAATTTGGTTTGCACACCCCTAGCTTTATTGAATGGTTATAAAGCTAGCAATGTGAACATCAAAATTGTCTGGGGAGGTTATAATGATCAAAATTAGAAAGAATAAATTAAGGAATAATTATATTAAAAGAAATGTTGGAGTGATATCTTTTGAGGATAAAACGACTGAAAAAAGACTTGAATGATTTGAATATGTATAATGAAAAGTAGAAAATGCATCATCAGGCAAGCAAATAAAATTAGCATGGATGATGGGAATGAGCAGCCCTAGTTATTTGGATAGAATTTGTGCAAAATGCCTTGTGAAAACTGTCTTCAACCAAATGAATGGAAAATGAAGGTTCATGAAGTTGAATCCAAATATTTGGGATAAACTTGATAGTTTGATGCTGTATTTTAATTGGATGTTCTGAATTTGGGAATCTAATCTTGTCACCTTGCTTGAGTACTCTTTGAGATGAATCATATTTATTTATTCTAACATGGCTGTTTTTATAATTAATTAATTATATTGGGGAGAATACTGTGAGCAACATTTACTCAAGATAAGAAAGCTTATAGGTTCCTTTAAAGAATTCTATGGAGCAACAGTTGGAACATTAACTTAGTGAGGTACTAGATAACTTCCAAGCTACTCGATGGTCTTCCTTTCACTAAGTTAATGTATGTATTTTCCTTGCTAGTTTATACGAATTAGATCAATTCCAAGCTACTCGATGGTCTTCTTTTCAAATACAAAATCATGTCTAGTAATTATTTCCTCTTAACATTAAGAGTTGATAAGTAGATCTTTATTATTTAAAATTCCACATAGTGGACTATATCTTCTATAAAAAGAGTATTTAAACATAATCTTTTCTTTACAATTTAAATCTTTGCGTAAAAAAACAGGTTTAACTCTTGCTTATGCCGCTCTCTCAAGCTCTCATGGTTTGTTTGCATATTGAGGTTGTCTAAGTTAGGTGATTCTTTTTGCTGGCACAAAAGTAATTTTTAACATGGAAGAAAATTAAGCATTATGTATATAATTCTTCACTTATCACTTGATGTCAGGCAAGGCTAGACAAATGGCCTTTTAGGTCAAATTTTAACCTCAAATTTTAAACTGCTTGATCTCCAACTAACTGTTCTAGGAATTTTAAGATTCCATACACTATAGAAAAGCACACAAATTGCAAGTTTAGGGCCGCAAAGAAATTGATTCAACGGTCCAAGATCTTGATCTGTGTGAGATCACATACTTTTGCCTTTTGGGGATATAAATTCTATACTTAGCTGGATGGTTAAAATGGAGAAACATATTTGTTTTTTGTGCTATAAAAGAATATCACGGAGTCTTAAAAGGTAATTTTAATAAATTATAGTTTAATTGACAATGTTGAATGGATCTCAATATTTGGCGGTTAAACATTTATTGACGTCTAATTTGAATGTGATAGAAATGATAAATTTGATCATATTTTTTCATCTTAACATACCCGAAGCCTGAAATC